TCTTCTTAAATTCTTGTCCTTTTATTGTTCCCTTTCCTTAATTATTTTTCTTTTTCTCATACTCACCCCTCCCGATCCACTGCGTCTTAGTGGCTTTATTACTTGCTTGGTGTGAAATGATTATAAAAAAAATGTTTTCAATCCAAGTGGTATCTAGTGGCAGGTTCTGAACAAGCTCAAGCAAGCAAATAACTTGATTGAATAATTTTTAATAATTTTTTTTTTTTTTTACATCCTAATCTTAACTTACCATTTTTAATAAAATTGAACTAAATTCCTCTTTCTCCGAATTTGTTATGGTGATTTTGTAAGCGTAGCTTAGAAGTGGCACAAGGCCGAAAGTATGGGGCACTCAGCGAGGGTCGAAATTGATCTAGCGAGACAAGCTTGCTAACCATTACACCACGTCGAAGTGCCCAAAATAATTTTATCAGCGTATCTTAGGTGTGGCACAAGGCTAAATGTGATGAGCACCCAGTGAGAATCGAACTGACGACTCCATTCTAATTTATCGAGCAAGACAAGCTTGCTAACCATTACAAGTCGAAGTGACACTCCGGATCTGTTATATAAAAATAAGGTTTCTTATTTTTGTTTAGGTATATAAAAAAGTGATACCTCAGTATAAAATCATTCTTAAAGCTTTGATTTTAGTTTTCATTCCAAGTAAACAGATTAAATTTAATATGCCCAATTAGTAAAATATTTTGATGTATTTCAAACCGAATTCAAATTCATTAGATTTTTTTCTTCACACCTTATCATTAAATTTATAAATTTGTCCATATTGACAAATCTGTCAATACAATATAATTCTCCTTTTTTTAAAAAAAAATATTTCAATAATAAAATTTGCATTTCTGAAATGTTATTTTAGGAAAATTAACCGATTTAAAGATTAATTGAATTGAAACAAATATTACTTATTTCTTTTCAACATGGCGGCGTTACGACAGGAGAGTATAAAATGTGATTTTTTAGTGAAATGGACAATATTCATGCGAATGATTGTGAATACCTAAGTTAAAAAGATAGGGCTAATGAAGACCAACCCTCCCATTGGCCTTGTTCCACATTATCTGTATATTTACAAAAATATCAAAATGAAATGTTTGATATTGCTGAAAGCATATCGTATGCATTCCTTACATATAGGCTTTCTCTTCGTCTCTTGTCGAACTCTCTGCCTCCGGGCGAAGAGCAACCCAGATGAGGCTATGCCGAAGGGCAGAGTCTCGTATGTGGAAGTAGACAAACCCGACCCCGTGTATACGGGGTCTATTTTTGCCCGAGCCCTGCGTTAAAAACTGTCCTTGTGCCACATCCTGCCTTGTAGGGAGGTTGGTAAATAGAGAGGCTACCATCGTTCAACATCGCCTCCGCTGGGCGTGCCATCGGTCCAGAGTACGTCCCACTCGACTCCCAAGTATCATCCAAGGATCAATTGAAGACATCCCTGAAACAGGCCGACATCGACGCCGAGACCTGGGAAAACCGTTGCTGCAAATCGGCCTTCCTGGCGTAGGACCATCCGGTGGAGGCGGATGGGGTGACCGAGACTTTCTAGTCCAACCGTCAACATGAAGAGGATCTGTCAGGATGACCCGACTCAACCAGCTGCATCCATCACCCACACTCACAGCCATCTCCGCCACCAGAAGAGAAAAAAGGAATAAGGAAAGAGGATGTCGATCCCGATGCTTAGATGCGAGCGAGTGCCCACCATATGCATTCATTCAGTCGCTTTTTTTGTTTTGAAAGCAGACGAAAAAAATATGAAGAATGGTTAGATTGAGCAGAGATTAATGAAAAGAACCAATTTAGAATCCTAATTTGAACACAAAGTGAATAGTGAAATTAACTTAGCAAGATGATGCAAATCCAACAGCAATTCACTCAATTCTTCTCCGGTTCTCCTCGCCTGGAATCCATATGATCAATACTTTCTTTGATAACTTAATTTAGGTTTACTAACAGTTTATTTTAATTTCATGCTATTTAGTTAATTCTACATGATGGAGGGCCAAAATCTGGGTTTGCTGCCACTTGTCAGCATTAGGGCCATCTGATTTTCAGGCAAAAATACTCTTGGGAATTAGAAATCAGTTGCAAGAAATTACACTGACATTAATTAACGACTAAAAGTAAACTATTTAAGATACACGCGTGTAGTGATGAGAAAGTTTGCTGAACATTAGGAATATCTGCAGACGGTGAATGAACAAAAACAAATACACAATTACTACACCATAGTTTCGTATTTGCATAATAATTGTGCTTCTTACCAGCCAACCACATCCTTATAATAAACTAGCAGTATAACCCGTCTTCGACCGGGTGTTTCATTACTGGGAATTTTTGCCGTTCAATTAGAGCAGTTTAAAGTCAGCCCACCCGAAAATCAAAAAAATTTTTTAAAAAATTAGCAACAATTGGGTACAACTGAGACACATCCCCAAATGGGGGAGGGGGGGGGGCTGAAAATGGCCGTTTTTGCGTTCTCAATCTTGCAAGGAAGGAACCTCTTCCACGGACCGTCATAATAATAATAATAATATACGATAATTTTTATTTATAATATATATATTTTTATAATTCTAATAATCTTTTGCGTTAGATTTTAACTCTCTAAATTGATTGTACGCTGTTTTTTTACAGACATTAAATTTTACCTTTGATTTTTGCGCAAAGTGTAAAAAAAATCAGTTTTTTCGATTTTCCACCTTCAAGGTTGTAACTTTTTCCAGCCAATTTGGACTCAAAACCGGCACTGAAGAATTATCTATCAAACACTTCATCAAAATCGGATAAAAACTGTGGGAACGTATAAACAACATCCGATCAAACACACACACATTTTGAGAATTATAGATAAAAAGTTGTTGAATGCTAAACAGGCGTTGATTTTGCGAGGAAATTGAAGATATTCCATTCCAGTCAACAATTAAAAAAAAAAAAAAAAAAAAAAAAAAGAAGAAAAACTGTAAGTCGAAGAATCCTTTACGTCAAACCACAAATCCACGAACGTGCAACGAACTAGACGATCTAAAAATTCGTGAGTTGTTGAGTCCGGACAAACTACCAGTATCCAGAGCCGGTGCCTACTACCTTCCCGATTCCCCACTTTTTTTTTTTTCTATCAACATTTATATACATTAAAAATCAAGCTTAGTACAACTATTAAATGATAAAAAATTTTCACGGATTTTGACAATTCTGGGTTCATTATTCTTTTTCGTCTAAATCCGTAAATTTGTTTTGCTCATGCTAAGGCCCGAAAAAACACTATATAAAATTCACTTTTTTTTTTTTAAACAATGTTGAATGTGTTAAAATTTTTCAACTTTTTAACCATAAAAACTTGACCAAGCCAGCCAAAATGTCACGTTCGACTTAAGAAGCAGGTTGAGTTGAACTGTTCGCATGAGAACTGCCAGATTTTAGATTTGAAACTAACCAAATATTGTACAAAGGAACGTAGATAAAAACATTTATTTTTTTATTTTTTTTTATTCAAGTTTTTTCTTGCGTCTTCATTCCACTTGGACCAGCCCAATACGAAGATTCCCGACGACGATTTGATCCTTACCGATCTTATGATCAAAACTAATCACAGTGTGGGATAAGGCAAGGTCTGGATCGAAGCGATCATCTCATTGATCAGCCGTGGGTGTTGAACATTTGGATGACCAGGAAGAGCTTGAAGGCGACAATTGGTTGCCGTAGACCAGGACGGAATCTGAAGGCGACAATTAACTTTGCTCTATTGTACCTAGACTTTATGAATCTAAGTACAGTATTAGATTGGTGGCAAGATCTCATTACTTTACAGTTGAATTGGCGAGATGTAACTAAGTTCTATGCTAACAGTTTCTCTCAGCTGTGGCACTCTCTTCCGACTTCTTACTTAACAGCCAACTTTGATCTACAAAAAATTAAATAAAATGACAGTCATTATCTACTGTCTTCTTGATTCCTCTGCCTTTATTGTTCTCTCTTCGTAATAATGTTTTTTTTTTTTTTCTCGCATTCTTTCACACTCAGTACCTCCTTGTATCATAGTAGCTTTTTTGCGTTACACGGGCGAAATGATAAAAGAAAAAAAATGTCAACAAAAACTAACGTTCGTTTGAAGTTGCCCGTTTTCTCAAAAGATCTCCATTGTGCCCTGACAACGGATATCGCAGCCCTAACTACATCCCAGTTCCTTTGTATTCCATCAGTAAGAAGAAGATTCCCTCGGACAGATTCTTCCTACGAACTGTTGTTTTATGGAACAGATTCCCGGAAATCTCCACAATCTTTGTATCTTCAAATTTAGCGTTAACCGTTGTTTTTTCCCGCGTAACTGCATTTGTTACCTTTTTTCGCTGATACACTAAACAGTAACCTTCTACTTTGAGTGGCTTTTAGGTCGAGAGTGATCACTAATATTTTTTTGACTTACACCGAGTTCACGTGGAACCCATTTATCGAGTTTCTTCACCTTGCCAATTTAGAATGGCACCTGATTTTTTTTTATTACATATTTTCATTGATATCCCAATCTTTATTGGGATATCAATGAATATTTACTAAACTTTGAGTCGCACAAGGTCATGAGGAGTACATGTCATCAGCATGGAAAATAGAATCGGAGAGTTCAAGTCCCGCCCGAGTCTGTTACATTTTCTTCACACTAATGCTCTTGGAAAAAGCATAAATGCATCTATTTTCTCTCGTAATTATGCATTACTGGTGGATTTATTTTTTTACAGTTTATCAGCCCTTTGCATTTTAAAGCGAAAAGGTATTTTTAGATTGTATGAATGTTTTTTTTTTTAGATAATAATTAATGGTTTAGTAATACAAAACTTACTCATAGCTAGGTGAGAAAAGGTGGATTAATACCTTTCCCAAGGGTATTTGCGTGAATATAACGAACCTAACGGGAATTGGAACTCGGTTCTCCGATTAAAAATTCCGAGCCATTATCCATTACACCAAACGCACACTAAAGGTTACAGCATTTGGTATTCCGAAATAGTCACCCATTTAGGTACTGATCAGGCGCAACGTTTCTTAACTTCGGTGATAGTACGGGAACCGGTGTTTCAAAATGATGTGGCCGTA